GTAACAATCCAAAATTTTTAAACATCACAATTAAAACCACAAATTTTTAAAAGGGAAAAAAATGCACATGTTCAAAAAAAAATTTTTGAAAAATAGTGGTCGTGCCGGGAATTTGGTCTAAACAAGTACCTTAAGCCAAAAACGTTTCCACTCCCAAAAAGGAGATATTTATCAATTCTTTTTAGCCCCTTTAAAGACTGTCATATTAGAGGATTCTCTGTCAAGGTCATTGGTAAAAATAAACAGTTTTCCCAAATTAACGATTTTTGTATTATATTTTTCCCAGATCCCTTTTAAATTAAATCTGGGTCAATTAACCTTCAAAGTGTTCAATATGTTATACATGTATCAAAAAAACTTTTTACATTGTAAAAAAAAAAGAAACAAATTATATAATTTACAATTTCCCCAAAAAAAAAGGGATGCGTAACCATACCAGTAAGTTTGAAAGCCAGCAAAAGTAATATTTTAGTTTAAAAAAACGTAATAAAAATTCATCGTGGATTACAGTAAAGCAAACAAAATTTTTTTTTTTTAATTTAGTTATAGGATCAAAGATAGCTAATGAGCGTTCAAAGTAGAATTTTTTATTTTGATGACCTTTTTCACCAGATGATATATATAAATATATAATGTAAATCTGTATTTTTTATATAAGAAAGTATTTTTTTTTTTTTCATTCCAGTAAATTAATTTTTTAATTTTTATTTTCGATACTGCCCCCCCCTTGGGGTTATCGCCCCGGGGCCCCCCAATTTTGAAAAACACTGTATTAACTCTAAGATTTTGGATCATCGACTTATTTGAAACTGTCATCCCAATTTATAACCTTAACCTTTAATTTGTGCCGAGATAATTTATGCCCCCCAAAATGTCACCCCAAATTTTATACGGGGTAATTTTGGGAATTTATGGGGGGGTAGATCCTTTGATCGGGAAAATTATTTTGATCAGCAATGGGAAAAGGGCCCAAAAAAAAATTATACAAAAATATTTTTACATTTACTAGACAAGATACTTTGAAACTCGTTTTTTATCTAAAAAAATGTATTTAGGAATCGTGTCCCATTTTAGAATTTCGAATCCAAGTTGTAGAAGAGCTTTTACATAAATATGATGATACAGCTTATAGAAAAAAGATTCCTGGCAGAACATCTACAGTAGATAACCCAGTCCATCTTACTGAACGACATTTTAAATCCCGTATTCCTCCTACTCCTGAGAAACGTGATCCTAAAAGACACTAGAAAATTTATTGTTCAAAAAAGGGTACAAATGGAAAAAAGATATGGAAGGAAACACGATTCTGGTGTAATAATTGCGTTGGTTTATGCTTGAAAAATGTTTTTAGTTATACCACACAAAACTGACTTATTGAGCTATTAATATAGGTATTCATTTTATTTATTTATATTTTTATCTTGTTTTTTTAGAAAACAATGCATCACTAGAAGTTAATTTCAAGCTGTGGTCCAGCCACTTCAAGCGAATATACAGTTGCTATGAAACCTAAAACATTTTATGGAAGTACAGTTGGACCTCTATATAACGAAGTCACTAAATCCCGAAAATCCCGTTATATGGAAAATTCGTTACATAGAGTTTCATCTGTCAATTTTCTTTATAAACCACAAAAAAAAAAATTTTAATTCATAAACACTATATATTAAAAAAAAAGTAATTATTCACACCTTTGTGTAAATTAATATCTATTTATTTCATATACCTTATTTATCAAAAAAAAAAGAAAGAAAGAAAAACTGCATGGAAAGTTTCTTGATGCTGTATTATCCACTCGCTGAAGAATTACATTTTTTCTTTGATGCTCAAGCTCTTATGTTTTGACATTTTAGAACTACAAGAAATGAAGTTATTAATACGACTGAGGAACACTACAAATGAGCGGAGACTAGTTGAAAGACACGGGGACACAAAACAACTCCACTGAGGATGAAAGGGGATATCAAAGATTTTTCCAGTGGATAATGGGGGTTAAAGGATGCACTTATTGGATGAAACGCCCGGAATTTTATTACTAGGCGTGTTGGGCACCTAATAAAACCATATCAAGATTTATGACCACCATAAAATGTGTTAAAAGAGAGGCCAACTTGAAATGCACAGAAATACTTCAAAAATAAGGAGAAAATGCACTTCGCTATTGATAGGTTTATTTACGAAGAAAATCGTGAAATGTTCTTGGTTCCAGGAAAAAGTTCGCTATATAGAAAAATTTGCAATATGGAGGTTCGCGTAATATGGAAGCTCGAATGTATTTGAAAATATCAGTTTTTTTTACTAAGTATATTTTATTTTGTACAAAAATTTTACTTTTTCAATAAAAAAATTTACAATTTATATACACCAAATCATCAAAATAACCGATAGTTAAAGGGTAAAAGAAAATGTGAATTCTTTCAAAAATATTCCTACGTACCCATATTTTGTCACATTCTCTTATCGAACTCATTGATTTCCTCAACATTCTACATGAAAGATATATAAAATTGCAAAGACACTTTCATATCATAAGGGATCTTGAGCATTTGGAATGCTCAATGGATCTTTTCTCGATTCCTTTTAAAGATTCCATTTTCTCTGGAAGTTATTAATTGTGAATTAACATGTAACGCTCACAGAATGATTCAAATTTCCATTCTATAGATTATTGAAGTATCCCAAAGTGGAATAGAAGTATCTTTTTCAAGCAAACACTCTCATATTCGGGTTTGTTAGAGGTTGTCAGGGAAACTAATATAGATTTAATATGCAGGCTTTATTCGAACTGTACTAACAGTAAATACATTGTTCGTTTATGTAAGTATCTTGCTTTTAGAGAGATTTTACTGAGATCAAGTTACTTGTGAGTGCACCAAGATTTGGACTGATATAAGATTGTAACATTATATTTGACATTCAATTCCTACTATTAGTTCACTCTCTCCTATTTTCGTTAAAATTTTCAATCGTTAATAAAATACTTTCTATTCACTCATTCAAGTTCAAATACAACTTTTTAGTCTTGTAAATGGATGGCACTAAATGTTAATACAGTTTTTCAAATACTAATTTATTAAATAAATTAAAAAATGAATAAATAGAAGCAAAAATAATAGTCTAACAGCATATAGAGAAAAGAAAATAATCGTTCGCTGTGTCCTTGAAGCGCAATGGATAGCGCGTTGGGCTTTTAATCCAAAGGTCGTAGATTCGAATACTACCGGGCTGGTCTCTTTTCTGAGAATGTGATTTATGAATGAACAAACAAAAACAATAGTCCATCCCCATGAATAGAAAAGGAAAATGAAAATTGCAAGAAAAATCGCTTTCTATTTTGCCAAGTTATATTGTGATACTTCCATATGTATATACATATTTATGTTAATTTTAATTATTTAATAAAAAGTAAAATAAAATTTTTCTTTATTGACCTATGTAAAATTAACTTCAAAATTCTTTTTTATATTACTTGTTTTTAGACTAATTTCGTATAGGGCAGGGGATCTTAAACTTTCGTTTCCGTAGCCATCTTTCATATATCAGTGTAACACCAAGACGCCTTAAGATTTTAAACACTTCTCTCCGATCCCTAACACATGGCTGATGTTTAAAGATTTTTCAGTAATCCTATATTTATAAGACTGTTCGTGCCTCTACTATTTATAGATAATTTTTTAACATTTCGCAAGGGTAGTACGATTAGAAAATTGACATGCATGCAAAAGTTATTATATTGGCAATCTATGTATTCAATTCTTAACCCTTTATCTATCACATTCTGATTTACAGCAGTTTTTTTTCATGCAATATTTTTTTCAATCACTACATTGAAAATTAAGGGATATACATAAATAAAATACTTAATTTTGGGAAATTTAATCCGCTCTACAGCTAATGAATTAATTCAAGATAATCCAAAATGGACCCATCCCAGTGTCAAGGGAATGTCATGAATTCTTGACGATAAAGAATTGAAACTCCATATGCATAGTTCAGTATCGAATTATGAGATCACGATAAAACTCCATTGTTACAAACATAATAAATTTTTAAATACAGTTACGAAAAAAATGAATTGTAACATTCCGAAATTATTAAATACTCAGATTTCTCGTAATAGGAAATCTTTTAATCCTAAATTTCCCTAAATTCCCATAATCAAATATACAATCTAGAACAGCGATACTCAACCTATGGCCCGCCGAATCTTTCTGAGTGGTCCAGTCATGCGCCGTTTTACTAACAAGTTCAATTATTCAAAAACAATGTATTAAAAAAGTGAAAAAATTTATCAATCAACAATCCCATATATCATTTTTTATATTGTGGGTTGGTGGGAAATTTGAGGATAACTTATTCTTCTTTTGTAATTGTAACGGTTAGTGTTAACAAATAACAGTAGAATAGCGACTATTTTATGGGTGAAACTAATTTTTAATTAACCCTCATATCTTCCAAGCGAAAAATATCTAAAGAATATTTGTTATTTCAAGACCATTGGGATCTTGACTGTTTCGCAGAAAAAACAAACATGGATCAACAACTTGTTTAATTTGTCATGAAAATGCTATATTTAAAAAAATCTAATTTTGCTCGTCCCTATACCATTAAGAACAAATCTTTCAATGCCTCCTTTTTTTTTATGCGCAACAAAGTATTTGGGGGTGGGGACATGGGATCATCGATGAAAGGAAATCTAAATTACCCCATAACAAGGAAAAAAAAATGCATTGAACTCTTTTTTTTTCCTGTGAGTTGAGTTTGATGAAGTTTAAAACAATTTTAAAATGAAATCCAAAACTATTAATATTTTGATCAATTTCTGCATTTTAGATATTTTTCTGTCTTTAATCTTATAGCGTCCCCTCCCCCCGTTAATCCTCATATTGCGGCCCGCGAGAAATAGTTCTCATATGGAAGCGGCCCGCATGAAATAGTTATCATATCTATCCGGCCCGGCTGAAAAAAGGCTGAGTACCGCTGATCTAGAATGTATGACTAATTTATTTGAAAAATTGATTTGCCAAAATATAGTTGATAACAACCAAAAGTAACAAATTTATTTATCAACTTTCTTAAAATAATCTAAAACGAGGGCAACTGTTGAGAAATATTCAAGGATAAAATTGTTAATAAATAGTCTTTAAAGAAAGCAACAACATGTTGTACTTATAAAATATGAAAACAAAGTAATCTTGAATTAAGAGAAAAAGTGCAGAAAGTAAAATTACTAAATTATCTAGATTCGCAAAAAAACCGCACAAGTGTCCTCGTTTCTTCTGTAAATAAGTAAAATCCTTAATACATAATAAGAAGTAAATTTTAAAACTCCTTAAGCAAATCAGTAACGTTTAAGTTTTTACACAAATGCAAGAATTCAGAAATTCAAAAAATTACTCCAGATAAATTAAGAGGACTGCCATGTTTTTCAAGAAACACAGTATGATTCAATTGACAAATATAGGTCAAAAATTCAAAAAAAAATTCTTTTTAACTTAAATTATTCTTAATATAAGTTCCGATTATCTCACAAAAGTTCAAAGGTTTAGGTTAAAAAACTTCAAAGTTATGATAAATCTTATGTTCGCTTTCATTCACATCCCAAAGGCAAAAAAAAAAAAAAAAAAAAACCTCATTTATCTTTATTTAAAACACTAAGGCGTTTTTTCAACCTTTCCAAATCTTTTGACAATTTTTTTTTTACCTATTGTTATTAGTACATGTAACTAAAGTTGGTATGCATTTTTGAATCAGAGAAATATATATATATATATTTAAATAGGTAAACTCTTTAGAATTTACACATTTTTTAAAAAATTTTCCTAAAGTATTTAGAAAAAATTTTTTTTAGGAATATTTTAAGCATGCAATCAGAAACCCATTCCAACTTTTGTTATTCCCAGCTTGACGTATTTGTAAATCAAATTTCCTGTGTGAACGTCAATTATTCTAACAGGAGTTGGATTTTTAATTCCATTCATAAATTTTAAAGCTTTTCTTCAAAAAATTAAATAGTTTTTTGTAGCCTTTTGAGCACAAAAACTTTTTATGTAATCCGTATACATTCGTTACAATAAAAAAAAATTTATCATTAAAGCAAAGATTATTTTATAAATCGTACCGTTTCCTCTTAATAGTATTTTGTAAATTTTGTAACATTATGATTTTTTCAATGTTTTTAACTAAAATACTTTTTTGTAGTAAATAAATATAAGAGTACTATTATCATAAAAGAAATATGTGGATATTATTGATACAAAAAGGTTCTTTAAGTAAAGCATCCTACATCATCAGAATATTTATAGTACATATAACCAAATATATATGTAAAATTACTCTAAGTAATTTTTAGTAGGTTTGTTATTTTTGGTTTCAGTAATGTTTGAATAATTAGGATGAAAGCTAATATTAAACCTATGCCCTACACTATTCTCAAAAATCTATTAATTCATTAATATATCTAAATAGATAAAAAAAAATCACTATTAATAATAGAGATCTTTTCAAGAAAATGTATAATTAAATTAGCAGGTCCGCCTTGGTAGCTCTTTATTGCGTTCACAATATGAGTTTTTTAAAATCTAAATTAATGAGAATGTTAAATGTTAAATCTATTTAGATCCTAATCAACATATTTTCTACCAGGAACTTTACAATATCAATAATATCTATTAAATTAAATAGATACATGAAGTGTAATTACGTATTCAGTAAATATTTTGTGTTTTAAATATATAATAATATTGCGACATAGTCATCCTGTGATGACTATGTCTAGTAGGATCCGCGTAAGCTAGAGGTGTGGGATTATCTAAATGATGAGACATTATGTAATTCTTAACACAACTTTTATTAAGAATAACTTAAATTACTTAATTCTAATTAACAACTTTCTTAAAGTGAGAGTTAACACCCAATTAAACCTTATATTCAAGTCAGATCGCGCAACTAGATCACTTATCTTAATTATAATAAATTAACTGACTAATCTAACTTCCTATACAAAATATTACCTTTTGTAGAGTCACCTTCCTTCATCGATTGAGGTAATACCTATTACGTAATTATAGATGAGAAGATTCAAACTTTCTTAATCTTTATTATATATTAATTGAGATGAACGTATCCTTCTTCCAGAGCTATAGGATGACTAACACTTGATCCGAATGATTCCACACTAAGTTATCTCTAGGCTTGCCGCTCTTTCTCATCAAACTTTCTATCCTTTTAAAGTATATCTCATTTACATATTCGATCCGTTTCTCTTCTTGGTATTGGGTTGGAAAGGTTTTGCCATTAATCGTGGCCGTCAAAGAACTTAGGAGTTATGTTAGAAGAAGGACGCGAGAGACGTCACAATATCTTTACTATTGTTAATAATAGTCACAACTTTTAAATCATTTATGTTTTGAAAATATTTTGTGATAATTTTCCATGATTAAATATTTTTAAAATATTTAAATATTCTATAAAAACATCCTTGTTTATAAGGTACTGATCAACATCAATTGTACATTGCAATTTTAGTAATTTGTTTGATACAAGTGAATTCAAACCAACATGATGTGTATTGGTAAACCATTCATTAAAAATTATCATTTTATCATCACTTCATCATATTTCACTTTATTAAAAATTCCAAAAAAAACAAACAAACATTTAATTAGTAAGGCTCTATTTTTTTTTATTAAGAAAATACTTTTATGAAGGAAGATCTTTTATTTTGCTTTAAGGATACTTTAATTATAGATTAAAGTACAGGCTACTTTTTTTATTTCATTCTATGTTAATTTTTTCCTTTTTTTTATTTCAGAATATTAAAATCCAAATTAATATTTTACTTTCAGATGTGATTGTGTGAATGATTATCATAACTTGACTAAATTCTCATAAAAAAAATTACAAATAAAAAAAATTATGTTTGCATTTGCAAAAGGCACTCGTGCTTTTGTCATAAAACATTGTTAACTTGAGTTTTTATAGTTTTCTCTTCAAGAGCATCAAAACAAACTTAAGATTAAAAAAAGATAATAATCTTTTGAATTACAATTAATCATATTCTTTTAAACGATTTTTTCAATAAACATAAAAACCTGGAAAAAGCTTTAAAATAAAAAAGAAAAGATTCATTTTGCATTCAAGAGAGGAAGCGTTAATTTTTTTTATCATCTTAGTCCACAAACTTTAATATTAACATTTTTTTATATATATTTTTATCAACATTTCT